TTCTTACAATATTCCCGCCGAGCCAGGTCTTCGGGAATGCCGCAGCGAACGGCCGTGTAGGTGGTCTCTCCGCCGAAGATAGATGGTTTTACTACAACAAAATGCGTCTGGAGACACCACATGACGACCCCGAGGATTCTCGGGCTCGTTTCGAGAGCAAGTCTCACGAACGCACAGACATCATGCTGTTGGACGGTTATGACGAGAGTGAGGGCACTGTGGTGATTAACATCAACGGACGCTGGGGCAGCATCTGTGATGACAACTGGTCTCTCAAGGAGGCGACCGTTGTGTGCAAACAACTGGGTTTTCCCTACGCTCTACAGGCCACTACTCGTGATTTCTTCGCTTCAAATGGAATGCGTGAGTATCCCGTCTGAACAAGTTCACATTGCCTCTCGAATGTGTAGATGAAATCTGAATTATGACAGATTCCCTTTCTCATGAAATACCAAACGAAATTCTGAAATGTGTTTTCATTTCAAACAAATTACTTAATTAGGGTTTCAATAATCATTATCGTGCTGTATAATCGCATTATATGTCACTTATGTCAGGATGCCGGCTTTTGAACGAGCTTTTTCCTGAACGCCTGCAAAAAGTAACTGACTACTTAGGCAGTATGCATTTTTCTCATTGAATTTTCGGGCTCTTATAAATTCAAGTATATTTTATGGAAAAACCTGCACAAAAATATTCCTTCTTGCACTCGTTTGGTAGCAAATATGCCTTCTTGCAATGTTATACTTGAAGAAATGGTATCTATTCTATGTACTTTATGTAGGCATGCGTCTTGAAAAGTGTTAGGGTACGTAAATTCCAGGTACATATGCGCCTGTCCACTGGCTGTCTTACAAAGTTAAAATTTTACTGGAAACCAAACACGTAATTATTGCAGTTCAACTATATATGTTTCCGTTGAGCGAGGTTATCTTCGAAACATTAGCAGGTTTATGTTATTCAGGTCCAACAAAAGAGTTGAGAGCAGTGTAAGACGAGATGAGATGGCTAAGGAGGGACCTATCGGCTTGAAAGTGTCCACCCAAATATTGGCATGAATCTAAGGCGACACCACTTGCTTCTTCAGATCCCTATTTAATGGATGACGTCAGCTGTACCGGAAACGAAACCAGGCTCCAGGACTGTAACTACTGGGATGAGCACGATTGCAGTAATCGTGAAGAAGCTGGAGTGGTTTGTCTTAATCCAAATCTCAAGGCAGACCTCTACAACCCTCGTAATCCTCAGATCCACGGATTGAGCCAAAATCACATGCAGGCAATGCGACAGGTAAGTCCCCAAAAGGTCACATGATAAAGCTCCCAGGGCCGTCGCTAAGATGTTTTTAAAAGACCAACTGACGAGGAGCATTGTATTAATTTAATCCAGTCTTGACAACAATTTTATAGCCAAACAGATAACTTGTCTGAAAACCAACAGTCTACAGAAGTGATCAAAAGAAAATTTTGACCTCTTCCTGATCTTCTAAGTAACATGCCAATACAATTAAAAGGCAGTCAAGAACTGCCTTGCTATAGAAATAAGTCAAGCTAGGTTTTAATTCAAACGGAACTTGACGTTGTTCCCTCTGATTTCACTTAATTCGACATAACTGTTCTTTTGTAAAAAAAACTGATTACTCTTGTTAGTAGTGCGAATGCCAGGACGAATAATTGTTGAGTCAAATGTAAAACGTTGAACTAGGTGTCTTCTTATAAAGTCTTATGATGCATTCGAAGAAAATATCTGAATTATTTGTTACAAGTCTCATTATTAGACGAACGTGGTGGTAAGTGCAAAACAGGACACAAAGTATTAAGCGCTGTTTTGCATCAAGGTCTTTTAAAGAATACCCTTAAATAGTGAATTCTCCCAAACGCTTTCTTAAAAATATTCGTTTGCTATAAAATGGTTGGTTTTATTAGGTTCTTATTATCAGGTACGGTGACCAGCTTCGGTGAAAATTGTCTCCGCGCTGCAATGTCGACTTAATCTGACGTTCGATTAGCAAAAGTAGGTAGGTCAGCATTAACTAAAGACAGTCAGAATTTAAACATAAAAATAATTGAGAACAGAGCGAAATATGAAACAGCTTTTTGTTGACGAATCTTCGAATTATATCTCTTTATATTGCTTCCGATGAAAATGTGATTGATGTATTCTTTAGTGCTGACACGTATGTAAACCCAGTTCAGTTGAATAAAAACCTTTACAGTTTCTCAGCAAACGTGCACAAAATAGCAGGCAATTCTTCCACCTGTTTTTGGTCGACATTATTTGTAGGAAAAAAATTGAGGACATCTGGGTTTATTTCTGTGTTTGTGAAACTCAAATTGCTGCAAATTATTTTGGTTGATATCGAATATTTGTATATAAATGCATTGCATTTTTACATTGCACGATATGCGCCTTTGATTGCAGGGAGCCTTTTAAATTCATCTTATTGGGCAGGTTAATCGAGTCGTGGTTGGGAAAACTTCTTCCAGACATAAGGAAAATAGAGATTTAAAATCATTTTAATCCTAAAACACTTGTCTAGTCTCCTGCTTGCCATTATTATTCATTCCGTCAGGTATTTGTGCTTTTTGGAAACTTATCAACTTGCCTAGGTAAACGCTTAAAAGTGGCTAGACTGTATATTTGCGACTTCTTTGTTTAAAATAACTTAAAAAGATACGCGCTTGACGAAAAATGTCAAATCCGTCCACAGCTTTTATTTTTTATTTTTCCACTTATTCCTAAAAACCGTGGATTAGCATTTTTGCACATTTGAAAAAGCGAACCCTATTCTTCTTAAGGACAATATTTTTTGCCGCCTAATATACTTCCCTGTTTAGAAGTGAGTTGCGAAAGTTCTAAAAGGCAGGCGATTGCTTCCAATGCTATTATATTCTTCGGGAAACTAGTGTCCCTGTCTATAAAAACAGTTCTTTCCCTAAAGTGGTTTAAATTTAATAGAACATGATTCCTGGAGAAAATAATTAATTTAGGTAGGATCGTGTCACATGCATCGAATGTAGGATGACCACATGTTTTTATATATTTATGATCAAGTGAACTTGCACAATGAATGCCTGCGTGATTTGGGTGATTGTTTTGAACGGAGAGAAGAAGCTCACATTAAGAGGAAACAAACAATTCCCAGTATTCGGATATATAAATATTTCTTAGTGGCCGATAGCTGCAAGACACAGATAGCCAATATCAACCAAGTCTGATCGTCAGCCATTAAATATATCTGACCAGCTTTTTACGGTCTTCTTCTATTAATAGCTTTCCCTTTGCAGGTGCAGCCATAATGAATGTGTCTGATTTCGTCTGTTTAAGCAACAATTACTACAATCCTGATAAGAATTATTAACTTTTATCTGAGCGGCAAATGCATTTTTTCACATGGTTTCAATAAGTAAATCTCTCGTAAATAACAAGGACACATGTGGACGTGTTTTGGTTTCTTGCCTGGTTGGCCTAAGAATATATCTTTCCTAGCTAACGGGAAGCTGAATGAAGTAGCCTTAAGCCGAACCCCTCCAAAACAGTTTAATGAGATTGAATTCTGACAGAGACCCTTTCGAAACACATTTTGCATCCGTTTGTGAGGGCAAGTTACACCTTTACGTCAACTCTAAAGTAGCATCCAACTTTGTATATCTGCATCACATTTCATAACAATTTTCATTTTAATTAGAAACCTCCCCAGACGTGTGGACCTTGCTAATGCTATAGGCCACCAAAGATAAAATGCAGGGCAAAAACCACGATAGCTAAAAAAATAACGCCTACCGGGTCCAAAATTAGTAACACTTATATAGATAGCAATGTTTGTCTGCAAAAATGCGACGCCTTGTATGATACCCTGCATGATAATTTGGCCAAATTCCAAAGCCTTCTTCCTCAAGTTTAATTAGACGTGTGTTAGATGCGCTGCTGATCGTACCAACATATATTTAACATACTTTCACACAGCGCTATATCTCGTTCATATTATCTATGCACACGGCTATCAGAGACATCCTTAAATACACCGTAAGACAGAAACTCCTAAAAGCCCTTTTCTGGCTTATTTGCCATCATCAGCAGAAGTCACTGTACTCCAGTGCAGCAACGGAAATCGTCACCACCCTCGAGTTTCGAGCCCGTGTCTCTCCACTCTATCCATCAAGCTATCAGACTCTACGTCTTGACGGTTTTTGATCGGGGCTATACAGTAGTAGCTCGATCGATAGGGCGTTCGCCCCTGACCGAAGCGACGTGGGTTCGAAACTCGAGGGTGGCGGCAATTTCTGCTGCCACACTGGGATAGAGTGTCTCTTGCTGATGACCGCAAGTAAGCCAGGAAAGGACTTCCAGGAGTCTCTGTCTTACAGTAAAATGTCTAAAAAATAACAAATATTTTACTGAAACTTAGTAGGAAGCATTACAATTAGCCATGTGGCAAAGGTTCGGGGATTCCCGACCACACTGGACATCAGAAACCAGGGGAATGTGTCCTGTATCTGATCGGTTTACGCCTAACTGCTAACACTTGATTGTTTCTGACTGCCCCTACTCCCCAAATGACAGAAAAGGTTTTGCTTAACCGTGCATACAAGGAGTTGCTGATACCCTTTCCTTCACTGTTATAGTAATGTATTTGTTCGTGATCAAATTTCTGAAAGCGTTTTCCCTAAGTGATTGTTAAAATTATGTCCTAAGTATACTAAATACTGTATTCTAGATCCAAAATGCGACACGCATTAAGATGCTGCATGTGCTAATACAATCTATCAATCTAGTTGATAATTATGCATTATATTTATGTTCTGCAGCCTATAACATATGCACTATTTGTCCATTTATAGCATAAGCAGATATATGATTCAAATTGTATTTTTTGTGTTATAACGCAACAATGCGGTTACTCCTTTAAGAAGGATTGCCTCAAGTATGAGAACCCATTCGTAGTTGTTTTTTTCCAGTTAAGGAAATTTGACACATCCATGTGAATCGCATGGAGGTAAATAACACGCAATAATATAGGTAGGCCTGACGACCGAAAAGACGCCAATACCAATTTAAAACTTTGTTTAAATGCGAATGTCAGGATAGGGCAATTTTTTTTGCGCCTTGCCATGAATATTTTTACAATCTATCAGTAGTTGACGAATGTCTGCTTGCGTATTGCAAATAGCACTATGCATATGTAAATCACGATTTAAACCACATAAGAGTATATTCGACACAGATCGCATGATAGTGCTATGCATTTGAAAACTTTAGGACTAACGATCTTCCTACTTAAATTAAACTTCATTTAAATAAGTAATACGAAAGTCAGTTGAGTAATTTAAGATTGACATTTTCTTAAATTATTGTTAAAGCATAGAGGTACGAAATTGCTTGCTAACAACATAAGTTGATTTCTTCGGCTGCAATTCCCAATACAGCCTCACATAGTGCATTTGTTTATAATGAAGCAAACTCTTATACTATCGAATTCATCATTGCAAAAAACCACATTCGGCAGCCTTGACGTAATGGTATTATATTTAAACTAGAGGATTGCTGTCTTGTTAAGTAGTTGATTGACGTCAGAAAACCTTACTATAAAACTAGCTTTTCAGTACAAATTTAAAAGTGATTATGCTGCTAGGGCATTTAAGAAGGTACGGGGAAGGCAGATTCACCATTTGAAGGCTGGGCTTCTTTATTAAAATGAACCTAAAGTTTCCGACGGCAGTCGAAACATTATCTACTGTGCCACTGATATCCATTTTATTATATGCTACTAAGAGCCATAAGTAATATAATTACAAATATCTTGTTGCGAAAGGAGAAGTGGCTGTCGATGCCGCCACACGTTGACGAATTAACAAATAATTTTGTGCTGTCGGTATGCTAGAGTTTACTTGAGTCATGTCTGTAAAAGTGGAATTTCGCGAAATTGAAATTTATATGGGGTTATACTGCATTGGGTCAGCTGTGCCTAAAAACAAGGAGTTAACTTAAACTGACATTTCAGTACTATATAAATTAAGTTCCCTTCTGATCTAGTTTGCTGAACATAGACAGTTGTCTTACCTTCCATGCAGAAAACTTGCATGGAGGTCAAGTGTTTTGTATTGCGTGCTGTGAAGGACGAAATTAAAGGCTGGAAATTGGTTTCGCAGTATTGAAAAAACACCGAGCAGCAAAACAGTATATGAAGTACCAGTATAAAAATTTTATCAAAATATGTACGCAGCATATCATAAGCCTAAGCGCTCTAAGCCAGTGGCTGCCAGACGCAAAAAGATGCGAACTTTGCCTGC